CTAGTAAACCGAAGTGAAACGGAGAGTTTCATGGAGGTAGGCCTAGGCCCAAAATTGGGGCTGTAGCGCCACAGGGGAAAAAAAAGTCAATAAGTAAGTTACAAATGGATATAGAACTTAAACAAATAAGAGTACTGATTTGAAAAATACCTTTATGTCTCAACATCATCTCCCTCTACACTGAGGCACTTGTCCCATCGTTTCACAAGCCCCTGAAAACCAGCAGCATAAAATTCTTTGGGCTGCTGTAGGAACCAGGCGTGTTCACACGGCATGGCCTACCTCATAATGCATGACAGGTTAGGTTTTCACGAAGTCTGTGCAAGATGGGTGCCGCGCATGCTGGCCCCACAACACAAAATGCATTATAGTATCTCAATCGCTACCACGATGAAGGACACGATATGCTAGCCCGAATTGTCACAGGTGATGAGTCTTGCTTCAAGCGACTTCCATTTGTTCGGCCCTCTTAAACATCATCTTTCGGCTGAACAGTTTCCCGACGATGAAGCTGTAGGAAGGGAAGTCACCGCCTGGTTCCGACAAAAGCCCAAAGAATTTTATGCTCCTGGTTTTCAGGGGCTTGTGAAACGATGGGACAAGTGCCTCAATGTACAAGGAGATTATGTTGAGAAATAAAAACATTTTTCAAATCAGTACTCTCATTTGTTTAAGTTCTATATCCGTTTGTAACTTACTTATTGACTCACCCTCGTACATTTACACATATATTGGACAACTTCCATCGTCTGGTTTTTGATTATAAATCACGTTGTGTTACTTAACCGGAAACTAAAAGCTGGTAAAAATCCACCTCATGTGATACGGTTATTCTGGTCCGGACAATTTCTTAATGTATTTTTTTTTCTCGTGAAACAAGTATCGTAAAGGACAGCAATTGCAAACATGGAGATGGTGCAAATCTTTGAGGTTATGTTGGGCAGACATGTCTGTTGTACTCGTGTAGTAGTTACTGATATCAGCAGCCGCCTCACGCCTGTTAATTTCTGTTACTTTCCAAAAGGGTTTACAATATATTACAGTATTAATTGTTTAGTAGGGACTCTCCTCAAAAACTTTATTTTTAAAATTACTTTGACTGTGCCACCTATTCTCTGGAATTTAACAGTTTAATCTCTTTCCTGTGAACGGAGAAGTTCATGGAGGTAGGCCTAGGCCCACTGGGGCTGTAGTGCCAAGGGGGGAAAAAATCTCTTTCTTAAACTCAGCCTTCCACAATTCGTAACCAGCGAAGCGCCGGGTCAGAGATGAGGCCCCAACTGAAGGACTTAATGTACTGCATGAGCAGAACTACCACATGCTAGTGGGAGCGCTGATAGATGAGTATAGAGCAATAGTGAAATAATGATTAGCAGATGAAACCAAAGAAACTCGGAGAAAGACAAATTCCAGTGTCGCTTCGCCCACTGCGAATCTCACATTCGCGCTCAGTAATTAAGTAAATTACTTGACCGATTGCCTTGTTCTCTATCTATTTCCCCTTGGCACTACAGCCCCAGTGGGCCTAGGCCTACCTTCATGAACTTCTCCGTTCACTTCGGTTTTTCTAGATCTTACACATTCGGTAGGACTCCTTGGGCGGGTGATCAGCTCGTCGCAAGGCCTCTACCTGTAGACAAACACAGAAAAACGCACACACACATCCATGCCCTGAGTGGGATTCGAACCCACGATCCCGGCTTCCGAGCGAGCGAAGACAGTGCATGCCTTAGACCGCTCGGCTACCGTGACCGGCTCTCTGTCTGTATTTTCCCCTTATTTTTTTTTATCCATGTCACAACCAATCAGTTATTGCTAGTTACCAAGTAAAATGGCTCGAGAGATAATGGGTCTGGCCATTTCGTATCCCGGACATGACGCCGGCTATTCTGATGAGGCATTTCGTGACCTACCGCAGTTCTTCCAGGTAAATGTAGAGTTAGTACGTCAAATTCGGTCACGCTAGCGTCCTTTTAAATATCTTTCAAATAATTATTCAACAATCGTTCTACCATCCACAGTATCAATAATGTTACGAAGATAAGTGCGAAGTCTGATATGCCGACTGCTTAAGTTGCCGGGTAGTCACGGTCTGCGAAGATGAATGAAAGTGGTCGCTACTGACACCTGTTATAAGTGTACAGTAACTATGCGTATTCAGCATCTGCTGTGATCCAGTCCCCGAATGTAGCGAAATATTACGTATATAACCACCAAAGAGCAACATCTCGGCCAAATCAGATATTAAGAATTGAAATGTAACCCAAATTTTCTAAACTTTCAAAATATTCTTTATTAGCTGCTCCAAAAAACTGTGAAATTGCTGACATTCTCAATGTCTTGAGCAGCTGTTGAATATTCGGCTGGCCAATAAATTCGTTTCTTTTGTACAGTTCAGAGAGATCACCCATTAATTCGGTGAAGAGAAAAGTTTTAAAATTTTATGAAAACTTAACGGGTTTCGAATTGTCACAGCTTTCATAGAAATATTCTAAAATATTTAAAGTAAAATGTAAAGCCATAGCAGGATAAAAATATATCAGCGTTGATAACGATAGTTGTGACGCAGTCTCTGCCTACTTCATAATGCATTCAATAAAAGAATGATTGATGAATTAGATATGATGTAAGAGGAAGCGGTCTTTTGGCTTAATCGGGCTTCTATCCCGGCATTCTTCTTGGGGAACTATACCGACCGAGCGACCGCCGCTAGTCGGCAAAGTTAGTGCCAACTTAGCTGATAGAGGGGGTCGCGTTGTCAGCGCAACGAATCCCCACGGCCGTTAATCTCGGTTTTCTAAACCGGAGCCGCTGTTTCCTTGAAATAGCTCCTCAGTTATCCTCACGAGTCTGAGTGGACCCCGTTTCAGACCCACTATTCTCAGAAAATCTGGTAGTACCGGGAATCGAACCCCGGACAATTGATGAAGACATGGTAAAGGATACTTACTTTCTTACTCATGGAGCTGAGCCATTCTGGAGGAACCGCCAATTACACCAAATGAAATTAAGTTTCAAAATGAAGAAGATTGGAAAGACGCGATGTACAAGTAGGCCACTCAAGTAGAAGTGGTCAACGTAATTATGATAGGTATAGCAATAAATGCCGGTCACAGTAGCCGAGCGGTCTAAGGCATGCACTGTCTTCGCTCGCTCGGAAACCGAGATCGTGGGTTCGAATCCCACTCAGGGCATGGATGTTTGTGTGCGTTTTTCTTTGTTTGTCTACAGGTAGAGGCCTTGCGACGGGCTACTCACTCGCCCAAGGAGTCCTACCGTATGTGTAAGATCTAGTAAACCGAAGTGAAACGGAGAATTTCATGGAGGTAGGCCTAGGCCCAAATTGGGGCTGTAGCGCCACAGAAAAAAAACAATAAATACCTAAAACGGGCTCTCTGTAAAAACGTGAAGGATATGAAGACTTAGCGAGAGCATTAGAAGTGGCTACGAGTCGAAATAGACGTAGCCTAATCTTGAAAGAAGAAAAAGAAGAAGCCAGAGATGAAGAAAATCATAACACAGTGTCCCAAAACCAGCACTCCTTGGAGTCAAAGTAAGAGTCACTTTACGACGGGCGGTTTACCGCCAATTAGTCCATTTTGGCGCCAAGACCCTTGAGACTCACGACCAGTAATTTAATTTTCCAACTGGACACTTAAGGAGCTGCTGTAGAGTAGTCGGTATAGCGACAGGCTACGGGCTGGGCGACTGAGGAGTCGAAGTTCGAGTGCCGGTGGGGTCAAGAATTTTCTCTTCTCCAAATTGTCGAGACCGTCTCTGGGTCCACCCGACCTCCTGTCCAATGGGTACCGGGGTTTCTTTCCGCGGAAGTGAAGCTAACCACTCACCTCCAGCTAGTGCCGAGGTCAAGAACATGTGGTTATATACATTCATTCCCCCATACGCCTTCATGCCGTAGTGTTTAATTCGTTGAGCATAGGGACAGCTTTAAATTTTAACTGAACACTTGCGGGTGTAGTCCTTATGTAACATCTGTCTGACGAGGGGATGGGTCTGTCGTTTACACTTCCTGCTGGGTCTCGCCAGCGCAGTCATTCTCAGGTACGAGTCCCGCGGGACTCATGACCATATTTTTCTGCCTCAAATTTGAGACTCTCCCTACCTGGAGGGCCAGGTCCCCGTATTTGTATCACCCAGAAACATGGTGACCCAGTTTTACCCCCAGGCAATGGGTTCCCTTTTCGTCGCCTCCTACCACTCGCAGGGCTACGGTGGAGGTATTCGACCCAGCCTCCACACGGGGCCCAGCACGTCCTGTGTAATATAACTAAATTATAGCCTCCAGGTCAGACCGATGTGACGTAACGACAGTGAGCACTCTCTGTGTAATATTGATTACCACTGAATATAGCGTTTCGTTCCCTGGCAACACTTGCCTGTTGTCTGTTGCCTAGCTGTGAATGCTTCTAAATCATTTGGGTTCTGTAATCTTGAATCGATGTGAATATCGCAATCTAACTACGGAGGTGAAATGTTCTATCTTCTGCGATATAACGCCGTGTAGCCCGTTGAAAGTAAGCCGACGTTTTGGAGGATCATGATGCTTCCATCTTCAGAGCTTTGCTTCTTATCTGATTGACGCTGGCTTCTCTCTTGGCACATTATTCAACCTGGAAATGGAGACCACTTGTTTCTCCACTTGTTTCCACTTGTCATCTCAATGTTTGACAGTACACAGTTTGAGAAGTTTACAGCACTGTTAAATAAATAATTCAACTGTGGAAAATCCATCTGAATAATATTGCTTCAACCTCATCTCAAATTAGCTATCCCAGTTATGGTTTCATTCTCCCAAAATGAATAACAAGGTAATTTCAGATACTCAATAACCATTAATTACAGCAAGTAATACAGCATATTTATTTTCTCCGCCCAGTTTTAATGAAAAAATAATGTTTCGCGTGGTGCAGCTTTACAAGCGTCCCGCGTTTATGCACGTAGTTGCAGGATCTCCCGCTAGATAGTTTGGGTGGGCGCTAGTGCGGTTACAAAACAAACGTGGTGGTTTTGCATTGTAATTTACAGTCTGAAGTAGTACGTGAGGCATGGCCAAGTTAAATGATATGTGTTTGTAATGTTATTTAGTTGTGCATTGTTCTTTGTATGGGTGTGAAATGAATATATTTAGTATTGATAAATCTGTTACGAAATCACCAGTCAACTATGAATATGAAACCATCATCACAGTTCCAGAGGAAAGTGTGTTACTGGACCAAATAAAAAGACATATTGTAATAATGAAGAAGAAGAAAATTAGAAAGGTGGTCACTCAAGTGAGTCTGCGTTTTCTCGAGAATGTATACATTCAGTTTATAAGAGAAAGCATAGCACAACGTACATGAATATGGAGTTTAATTTGTTGAAAATTGGATTTTCCCTCATGACGATATTTGTAGTAGTAATGGGATGTCTGATAAACAATATAGAGAAATATATGCCGGTGTTTTTGACACAAACATTCCGACATGGAAAATTTGCTTATCAAGGTAAACCATCGCAGTTGAAGATTATTGAAGTTCCTAAAAGGTAAGGTAACAGCTTGAGTAATTAAACATTTTGAAGCCTATGTGCTTGTAATTATACAGAATTCCATTTCGTCACTTTATTTATATATTCAGATGATCATAAAAATCTCAGGTGTTACGAAGTTCGAAACTTCATTACTGAGTTAAGAGGGGGTTGCTTTTGCATCCCATCCTCGGCCAGTTCCATCCAGTAACTCTATATAATGTACCATGAGATCAATGGCAAATGCTTACAGTGTGAATGGAAGTTACTTGTGTCTCTTTTACTCGAACAACGTCTAGCATACATAGTTGCTTTATTTTTTGACAGACTCTGTGACTGTCATAGCAAAGTTGAAAGAAATTTATATATTTCTTAATCAGATGTAAATCAATTGACTGCTTATGTTGGATTGGGCTAGTTTAATTTAATTTATGCAGTATTTGTGTTATGTAAATAACAGTAATAAATAAAGCACAAACGTTTCAGAAGTGTGGTGATGATAGATGTCATTTGAGAGCATTCTAAAGAGGGCAATACATGCTTGCCACAATTTAAATTTGTTTCAGATCCATGTTAATAATCACCACATGCCTGTAAGCCCAGGGCTCTCAAACAAAGTTCACTAACAACAATCTCTCAGTGGAACTTTCAAATTGCATCGCCATAGTAGTAACCCATTTGTAAGATTTGAGGCTTTCACGGCGGTGACTATGAAGAAAGCAGTCTTCTGGGATTTGGCACCGTGTATATGTGGTGTTAACCGACGTTTCGGAGGAACGTATCGCCTCCATCTTCAGAGTAGAAGAAAAAATATAAGAAATCTGCAAAGCGAAGAGACCGTGAGAGCCGGTAAAGTCTGCTTTTACCGGCTCTCACGGTCTCTTCGCTTTGCAGATTTCTTATATTTTTTCTTCTACCCTGAAGATGGAGGCGATACGTTCCTCCGAAACGTCGGTTAACACCACATATACACGGTGCCAAATCCCAGAAGACTGCTTTCTTCAGTAACCCATTTCTTGCATTCCTGCTTCACATGGCTTACCTTTGTATATTTTTAAGTTTAATTTACATTACTGTGTATTTCAATACTTATGTATTAGTAACTACAACCATTAAACTGTTTGTCTGAAATATAAACTGTGACCGAAACCTATTGGAAGCATTTCTTCACTCATAATGTGTACTTTCTTTCAGTTGGTTTCGACATTTCTATGTATTTGCTTCTGTGTACACTACTTTGTCTCTAATACTCACCTTTGGGATATACTTCCTGTCCTGGGAACTGTCACCATGGTTGGTAACATTGCTGGATTTACTTGCTTCAAGTAATCGAAAGGCTAATGGTAAGAATTTTCGCTTGTTTATAGTCTTTTTTTATAAGTTATATAAATACATAATGGTCATATAAACATGATGTATTATTACATTGCTGCAAATGGCCTTTGATGCTGTAGCACCCTAAGATCTAATACTCGTAAGTCAGTTTTACACTGAGCAATATATTGTCAACAGTTAATATTCTTAAGTTTTATACAGCTTTTACTTCTGTTTTCAAAGTCTGCTACATAAGATTACATTCTATAGAGCCTGGAAGATTTAGAAAAGTTGTTCAGGGGCTGCAGGATTTTCTCCATATGAGTCCATGACTTGCAATGAATTCTGTCGGTCATTAAGATAATTTAGCCAGGTTCATCCAAACACTGGACCGCCTCTGTGGTCTAGTGGTCAGAGTTCCTGGCTACAGATCCAGAGGCCCTGGGTTCACTTCCCGGTGCTATCAGATTTTCTGAGAAGTAGTGGGTCTGGAATGGGGTCCATTTAGCCTCGTGAGGATAATTGAGGAGCTACTTGAGTGGAAAAGTAGTGGCTCCGCTCTAGAAAACCAAAATTAACAGCTGTGGGGATTCATTGTGCTGACCACGCAGCACCCTCTGTCTGCTGAAGTTGGCACTAACTGTTGACAAGCAGGTTCAAGTCCCGATTAGGTCCCCCCCCGCCAGCCGTGACGTGCCGAGCGGAGCCGAAGTGAGCTGAGTCAAAGCACGCTGGTCACTATGAAAGCGAGTAAACAGCGGTACCCATTACGTAACATAGGATGCTGCTGTTGCTACTCAGCAGTAAACAACTCTGGACAACGTTGCTAGGCTGTCGGCAAACACAGCGTCAGACAACAGTGGTGCCTATTACGTAACTGTTTTCTGTGTTGTCTGTAACAGGGCTAAATAAGGAGCAGTGAAGACTATTCAAGTTAGTTACGAGTTAGCCAGCAGTGAGTCAGTAAATCAGTCAGTTGTAGTCAAGCCTTTGGAGGCCAACTAATTGTAAACTGCAGATAGCAGTAGCTGTGAGACTGTAAGAGTGAATGTGCAATAAATTTGCTATATCCCATACAGCGTGAAGTTATTTGTCGCGTTATACACCCAACACGTGACAATATTAAAAGATGGAGCTCTAATTCCATTTGCCTATAGCTCACAATACTTCCAACAGCAGAGTGGCTATAGCGGTGAAACCACATGGTGCAGTGATTGAGGCTAGCTCTTAAAAACCAGGACAATGGATAAAGTCCAAAAACCCAACATATCAGTGTGTTATACACCATCGTCAGAATCCTATAGTAACTACCACATGGTGTGGTTTACTAATGCAGAGTATCCCAATATGCATTTTGTGTATCCAGACAAGAGGCAGCCCAGCAGGCATGGAAACTGTACAGTATATTCTAAGGGAAACAGGTGCATTCATAACTTCAACATGCATCAGACTGGCAGATGCAGTGTGCACAATAAAGAGAAGTACTAGGTGCTGTTCATGCTCATATATTGGCTAGCGCTCGCCAGGCCACGTATGAAACAGGTCTATCTCACAGTGCAGTTTGATATACACTGCATGAAGAACAGTTATGTCCCTTTCATATACAAGTTTTACAAATGCTACAGTCTTGGGACAATAATCTTTGTCTCCAGCTCGCTCGGTGGCTTTGTGCACAAAACAATAGAGGAACCAGACTTTTTGTGCTGTGAATTATGGAAATAATGACGCAGTATTTTCAAGGAGTGAATAGATAATGTCCACAACTTATATGAATGGGCATTGGTGGAGCCTCATACTACTCAGTGCTCTTCATTTCAGGAAAGATTTGGCATCAGTATTTGCACTGGCATCCTAGATGGTCACTTAACTAGATCAAACATTATAGTGCATTCTCTCTGTGGAATCCACAATGCTGATTTTTTTTAAATATATTTCCTCTTCCATTGGAGGATGTACCCTGTAATGTTTGCAGTTTCAGCACAATGGTACCCTTCAACACTTTTCATGCCATGTGGGTAACTGGTTGGACGAACTTTTCTGGACTTGTGGATCAGTCATGAGGCCTTATCGTCTGGCTTCCACATTCTTCTGATCTGAACCCATTTACTTTCTTCTTATGAAAATGCATGAAGGAAACTCTTTGTGTTAAGAAAGTATAAGATGATGAGTTACATCCTGGTAGCTGCAACAGCTGCTAGGGGTGAACCTAGATAAGTGGTTCATGTCAGGACTCCAGTGAACATCACTTTGAAACATGCATTTTAGTTGAAGGTGGTAATTTTGAGCATTTTTTGTAAAGAAATATGTAGAACTGCATGCTAGTCCATGGTACATAATCAGACATTTGTGTTCAACATAACGTAAAGTTCAAACTGAAAAGATAACAGTGACTTCAGCATCTTTGTTTTTAAATAATTTTCATCAAAATTAATAACTAAAGATGTTGAATGTAAACAATAAAATGAATACATGAATGGACAATTATTTAATTTCCATTAAAAGTGACAGAACACAATGGGAGAATGCTGATGAATTGAACTACAAGTTATTTATGTTTTGCACCACAAATTATATCTTGCCAGCAACCTCCTAAAGTTTGACCATAGGACTTTGAATCATTGTGTACATGTATTCTTTGTTCTCTTTTCCAGTTAGTGCTGTGTCTAGTCTTCTTGCCCTATCCCTTCTGACAATTCAGGCATGGCGTAGATTCTATGAGACATGGTTTGTGAGTGTCTTTTCAAACACTCGAATGAATTTCTCTCACTATATTGTGGGTTTTATTCATTATTTTGGATCTGTAACAGCTATTCTGGCAGAGTCACCAGGGTTCATCGATGACAAAGGCAAGTTCTGAAATCATGTACACAGGAATGTATGGGTAAAACAGATCAGTGCTTAAATTCATGCTCATAGACTGTAAATGATTTGAAGTAACAACACATTTTTGACTTCTTTCTCAACTTTGGTTTAGAAAGAAAAATTGTGTAATGCAAGGAGGCAGTTTGACAGCTGTATTTTCTCATTGTGCATGATCAGTATGCTAGTTGGTGCCTTTGCTACTCTGTCAGCTGCAGCAGTAGTGTGAGTGAAGCAACATAATAGGATACAGGCCCACTTAACATTATCTGTATAAAACATGGGAACCATAACCATCCTCGCACTTGCAGTGCACCAAAGGTGAACTTATATCAAGAAATAGAATATCACGTACAAGAAGTGATTTTCTGTGTTTTAGTATCTGTTGTCTTGTATGGCCTTATTAATATTATTATTATTGTTGTTATTGTTATCATTATTATTATTATTATTATTATTATTATTATTATTATTATTAGAGGGGGTGGGTTTCCCCATGCACTTAGACCAGTCCATTGTGCGTCCCCCTTTAATTTCTACTGTCGCCATACCCTACAGGTACTGGTGTGTGCTATCAGCTCCATTCAGCCAACGAGGTTGGCCGTTGGTACCTGATATTTCCCCCATCTACCAGAGGCATTGGAAACTACTTGGGTGGGAAACTTGTTGCCTAATTTTGCTCAGAGGTCTCCTAGAGACATGAGGATCTTTTATGTGCTGTAAATCTACGACACGGGACCCACGGCTTAAAGTCCCTCCCGGAGGACTTGTTCCCTGAATTTTTGCGCCCTTAAAATTTCCACGACCTCTGCTGGGTATAAATCCCTGTACCTTGAGCCATGAGATGGGAACGTTACCCCTAGACTAAGGAGGCTACTCTTGTATGGCCATATGCCCATGCAAATAAAATCTGTGATAGAAATCAACTTTGAATTAAGCTTGCCACCAGAAAGGAACTGAAAATATCAGTTAACAGAAGTTACTGGATCATATGGCTGAAAATTGTGCTTGACTGCTGGGTTGGAGCCTGGGTGGGCCCCAGTGCCGGTCTGGCGACATGGGGAAGAGAAAATTGTTGACCCTACCAGGCCTTGAACTCTGACCCTTTGGTCATCCAGCCTGTAGCCAGTCGCTATACCAACTGCACTATCCTGGTTCCTTCTCATCTCACTGAAATTACTTATTTAAATTTTAATTCATGCATATTCAACAATCAGCCATGGTCTCCAGAAAATAAGACAATAGAAAGTCATTATTGAGTTCAGCCTGCATTAACCCTTTTGAAGCACAAATTTGTCGTGGATAATATTTAAAAATTTATTTCCTACCTTAGAAGAAAAACACTGCATCCCCATTATGAAGACCAACAGGTGAATGCTGTTAGGGAAATAATCGCTTATCTGAGAACTATTAATTGTCTAAACTGTGAGCCAGAAAATGAAAGGGAATGAAAGTGTGTATTCTTGTTTGTCTGTTTGATAACAAAAAGAGATTGTTGTGTTGATATTAGGCAGATGGTGTTTAAAATATGTTTGCACTAATATCATCTTCTTAACACAAGTTGAAGAAATAATTGAACAATAAAGAAAGGTTATTCTTACACGCAGTTTCCATACAAGAACAAGAAAATGTCGAGCATTTAAAACCACAGTGGTTTAGACATGGGGCACGTGGTAGCATAGTTGGTTGAGGCACTATGCTACAAGCTGGAAGGTCGCGGGTTCAAGTCCTGATGAGGTCATTGGTTTTTTCAGTTGACCTCACCCATCCAGCTGCTCTATGGCCCTGGGGTCGACTCAGCCTCTAACAGAAATGAGTACCAGGAATATTCTTGGGGGTAGAGGCCGGCTGGCGCGTAAGGCTGACAACTTGCTGCCATCTCTGAGCCAATTGTCTAGAGAAAATGTGGGAACCTCAACGTCTCACAACCCCATGCGCCTCCATAGCCTGTTACGGGGATACCTTTACCTTTACTTTACTTATAGTTTAGACATGTTCGTAGTATGGTGTAGCTTCTAAAGTGTCTGATACAAAAATATAATAGTAATAAATGTTTTAATTCATGCTTCAGGGGTTTCCTGTTGAATTGGAATGGGTAATTTGCTAGTTGCTTACTGAAGCTTGAAGATATATCCAAGACTGCTTCTGGCATTTCAGTTTGTCTTCACCATTTTCTTTGTGGGACCATTTGCATTAAACACTTACTGAAGAAACTACAAACAAAGACTAAATGTTTTAGTAAAAAAGACTCGGGACATCATGTTCTTGGGTGGATATATCTTGGAAATGGGCAGTGGTGATATTAAATTTAGCATGAACTGTTTGATTGTCATGTTTTTCGGTGTGTGTATCGTGGAACTAGAGATTGATGTTTTTTTTTATTGCTAGTGGGTTGGGACTAAGTCCCTTGTACTGTGGCCACTTCTGGCCTATTTTACCAGCCCCAGATGATATTTGAGGGTGATTGTGGAGCAATTGATGGAATGAGGATTAGCAGGGGAAACCGAAGTACTCGGAGAAAACCTGCCCCAGCGCTACTTTGTCCACCACAAATCCCACTTGACCAGACCCCGGGATCGAACCCGGGCCGCCACGGTAGGAAGCCAGCAACTAACCGCTTGAGCTATGGCGCTGCCATTTCAGATTGATGGTACTTTTTTCATATTCATATCGCCCATAACTACTTTGTTGCTTATTTGGTGTAATGTGTTGAATTTTCAGGTCTGACTGCCATATTTCAGTTAAAGGAAATAACGTTAGGTAACATCTATGGCAGTGTTCTTTTTCTGTGGGCGTTCTGCTGTCAATATAAAGCTGCTGTCTTGCTAGCCAATCTGCGTAAGAACAAAAAAGGTTCCATAGTGACACTTGAGCATCGAGTTCCACATGGAGACTGGTTTGAATTGGTTTCATCTCCACATAACATGGCTGAGATATTAATGTACCTTGCCTTGACATTTATACTCTTTGGTTCAAATACTTGGCCTGTGGTGTTCTTATGGGTTCTGAGTAACCAGGTAAGTCATGCAATTGATGAACCTAATATTCTGGTATGTTAATGTCAGTCACTGTGAATCTATAGTGTCACTGTTATGGCACCTCCCTCCATCTGTGCTTTCTGGAATGACACACCAACAACTGGTGTGGTCACAGTGAATCCATTGCTTTATCTCCAGATTCACTGGACCTAACATTGCACATTTTATTAATGTGAGGGTTTGTGAAAAACAGTGTGTGCTTAGGGACACACAGATGTTGCTCAGTATCAGAAGGTGGGGCTGCACTATAGCTCAAGCAGTTAGTTGCTGGCTTCCCACCACGGTGGCCCGGGTTCGATTCCCGGTCTGGTCAAGTGGGATTTGTAGTGGACAAAGTGGTGCCGGGGTGGGTTCTCTTCGAGTGCTTCGGTTTCCCCTGCCAATCTTCATTCCACCAAATCCTCCATCAGTATAATCACCTGGCGCTGGTACAATAGGCCAATCAGTGTCCGCCGTGCCTAGTGGACCCAGCTGGACTCCACCCCCACTAAGCCAATTAAAAAAGAAAGTGGGAGGGTCGAGTCATTGAGGCAGTGTTTGTCAATAATATAAAATTTTAGTTGCTGTTGCACAGTGCTTCCATTTATTCCATACCCATAGCCACCCCCCTGTATTAAGTACATTTTCCTTATGTAACATGTCAAGTTTGAAGTAAAGATTACCACTACTGTGAGCTTTCATTAAAGTCCACAGAATGTAACAACTAGTTAACTGCATCATTTTTGTAAGGTTCATAACTGTGCCGCATAAACAAGCAAAACATGTGTTTGTGATAGAGAAGTATTATTTTCAGATTTTGTTTTTAGGTAAGTATATACCTTGATCTAGGAGAGAGAGTGCAGACAGTATAGTGACTGGGTACAGGCTGGACAGCTAATGGGTCAGAGTTTGAGTCGTGATAGGGGCAAGATTTTTTCCTTTTGTCATCCATACCGATTCTGGGACCCACCTAACCTGTCTGGTGGGTAATGGGGGCTGCTTCTGCAGGAGTGAAGCGGCTAGGGCGTGAAGCTGACTGCTGACCTCCAACTAGTGTCGAAGTCAAGAATATACATGGATCTGTACATCTCCCCCATACATCTTCAGGGCATAGTGCTTGATTAGTTACATACAGGGACTTCACCTTTATGTACATTGATCTGTGATAGGAATTTCATTTAAATGTTGTACTGGAGTTTGTTGTTGTTAAAAGGCTACTCTTGAGTATGGAATATGTTGTCAGCAGGTTTTCACAAATGCCTGTTATGCACTCCATATTTAGCCAACTTGGTGAGAAATTTATACAAAAATTAAGCTTACTCAAATCACTTTGATCCTTAAGTAATTTTATAGTTTATTTTGCTTCATCATGTTTGATTATATAATGGCAGACCATGCTGCACTAGTGAACTATTACACATTTCAAGGGTTCTTTTGAGTGAAAGTTTATATATAAGGTTTTCTTCTGGTGGTACACTAGCACCCTCTTTAATCAAGCACATAAAAATATAAATGGTATATTCAAACATAAAAACAGTTCTTTCATGCATCTTGAATAATGATACTTTTTATTATATCAGTTCTTTGTTTTTCTTTTCCAGAAAAATATGTTTTTTGTTATGTATGGTAGGTTTATTTCCTGTAAAGAGAAAGTAATGCTCACACTTGTACAGTATTAAGATTATTAGTGCTTGTTAGCTCATAGTTCAAGAATATTATGTGAATTTTATGAATTTTAAATTCTGTTCTTTCCAGTCAAAGTAACTATAAGCTGTAAATTTATGATATGAACTGGTGAAAGGATGTATTCATAGCCAATATGAAAGTACTGCCCTAGCATTTACCCCAGAGAACTGTGAAATAGCACATACTTCCTGAGAACCATTTGAGAACATGTCAACATTGCATACTCTGCTGGCCTGTCAGTGTTATAATCATACATCACTGCCTGAAGTTTCTTTCTTGTTTTCCAGGTTGAAACAGCTTTGCTAACCCATTGGTGGTATAAATCTAACTTTAAGGATTACCCACCGATGAGAAAAGCTGTAATACCGTATGTCCTCTAGAGTGAAATGGATTATAAGTTGCATGAGTAGTGATTGTATTTTACATGAGAATTCTAAATACTTCTTACAGAATTTATAATCATATATTTGTGAAAGTTCTACATCATATATACATGTTACTAGTTTTAATTATGAGCTTATTAGACACTGTGATGTAAATATGTAATTAAATATAATTGAAATGTTGAAAAAATTTGTTAGAATAATCCCATTTTCAGTCACCAGTCTTGAGCAGCTGTCATGTAGAAGTGTTGAAATTGTTTTGTTGTTATGGCAGCTAATACTTCTTACTTATGGCTTGATTTTGCAATCCTCTAAGAACCTTGGCTTTCTTTATGGCAGTTGCCCATTATTCTCTGCTATTTACCTTTTGCCTCTATCTTTTCACTTTTAGCATTTGTCAGTCATTCTCTTCATCTTCCAGTCATCTTAATCTGAACCTTCTCACTTTTCTTAGTTCCTTGTTTTGTCTTCACACTCCTCTCCTGAATAATCTGATCACATTCCAGGCAGGAAGATACAACTTTTTGCCCCCCTCTGTAGTCATTTCCCTAAGTTACCTGTCTGGTATCCATCATTAAGTTTCTTAACAAACAGTGATTTCTGAGACTGAGATTGTTAGCCTTTCATACAAGCCATATGAGGATGACTTATCTCTGAAGACAGCACAGTTATGATGATGATCATGGTAGCAGACAGAAAAGATTTACAGTGTGCCACTAATTGAGTGGGTGGCACTCCTGCTACCCTGCTCTAAGCCTACTAGGTCTAATCACATGCATTCTTCATTTAAAATGGATAACATTAATTTTCAGTTTAAAGATACAGTTGATGTTTTCAATGAATATTTTCTGAATATAGCAGATAATTTACAAACACATACTGATAATAGTAAGTCACCTCTTGGATTATTAAATAATGCTTATCAGACTGTTTTTGTGAGTATGAAAGGTAATTCCAGAAACTAAGGGAGAAGTTATTAGTATAATTTGTTTCCTAAAATCAAATAAGTCTTCTGGCTATGATGGTATCACGTCATATTAAAATTGTGCAGCATGGCTATGTGAGCCCTTTTCTTATATTTGCAATATGTATGTTATGTCTGGTGCATTTCCTGATCATTTGAAGTATGCAGTCATAAAGCCTTTCTATAAAAAATAGGTGATAAAGCTGACATAGAAAACTATAGACCTATTTCTCTGTTGACTGTATTTAGTAATGTTTCAGAAAAAACTATATCATAGATTAAATCAGCATCTACAAGTGAATGATATACTGGTGCAAGAACAGTTTGGTTTTACAAAAGACTTGCCAACTCATCATGCTGCTTTTTCACTTACTACTGACATACTTCAAGCCTGGAGTGATAAACTTGTAACTGTTAGGATTCTTGTGACCTTGCAAAGGCGTTTGATTGTTAGTTAGGAGATATTGATATCCAAATTAGAGTAATATGGTGTTCAGGGTTGTAAATTAAATTGGTTTAAATTCTGTCTGTCAGAGAGAAAACAGAGTGTATCTCAGAATTGACAATGATCATGATTATTTCTCCAAATAGAAAAGAGTTAAGCAAGGAGTTCCTCAGGGGTCAGTCTTAGGACCACTTCTGTTTATTATTTATATTAACGACTGGCCGCGCCATAGCTCAAGCGGTTAGTCGCTGGCTTCCCACCGCGGAGGCTCGGGTTCAGTCCCGGGTATGGTCAAGTGGGAATTGTGGTGGACAAAGTGGCGCTGGGGCAGGTTTTCTCCGAGTACTTCGGTTTCCCCTGCCAATCTTCATTCCACCACTTGCTCCACAATCACCCTCAGCTATCATCTGGGGCTGATAGAATAGGCCAGAAGTGGCCGCAGTACAGGGGACCCCACTAGCATTAAAAAAAATTATGTCTGCAATGTCGTATGCAAGCCTTGGGATTTGCGGCAAATTCCCACGTTTAGAAAGTGCAGCGTTTAGAAATCAAGGTTCTCTGCAGCAACACCAGTGTTCCAAAGCGTGGAATGGTCAGCAACCAGAAGCCACAGAAGATGGTGAAAATGCAAATGCTTGGAATACAGGATAAGGCGAAGCCCGACAGAACACGAGGCTTAAATTTTGCGGCGGTGAAGCTTATGATTGTTGAGGTGACTAAATTGCCGGTCTAGCGTGAGCTAATAAAAATAAGGCAGAATCTGTTGTGGACTGACAGGGGGCTTATATACGAGGATTGGAACTTTAATAGCGGCTATACTGCTGTAGAGGCGCCATGCAACGGAACCAAATAATGTCGCTTATACCACACGTTAGTTACGTACCTACCTTACCGCAGAGCAAATGGACTATCCCTTCCCACATTACGCGCATGCGCAGTGACGAGAAAAACAGAGCCTCGTGTTAGCTGGCGGTCTAATGTAATATCACGATGTTTTCGAAACAGGAACAACGGTGTTGGATAAAGATTGAATGTGCCAGAGGCCGTACAGCACGACAGTGTCATCAAGGTCTTCAAGAGGCTTGCGGGGAATATGCGTTGCACCCACCTCCACCCCCAACCTNGGGCAGGAGGTATTGGGGATGAGATTATGGAAGCGTGGGAACCCTCCCATGCCACCCTTAACATCACGCAGCTATTTAATCAGTAAACCTGAACACTCGAGACGCTCGAGACTAAAACCTCATGGAAAATCCCCTTAGGGGCGACATTGCGCCCCCGCAAAAACTGTTAAACGATTTCATTGTTAAGAGCTAACAAATGAACCTCAGATATGACCTTGCGTCGGTTGTTTTGGTTTCAAACCCAAGATCAAACTGTCAGCACCCCCAAAGACAGCACGTGTCCTGCTGCATATATATATGTATATATATATATATACACACACACACACTTGGTCGTCGACTTATGACCGGCCGCACTTACTACCACAACAAATGAAAAATAAAAAACAATTGAAATGTAAAAGTTTTTAAAAATAAATTATAAAGATGAAAAGATTATAAAGGTTAAAAATACTGTTAATAAATATGTGGCAGACATACGACCAGTTCCACTTACGACCTGTCAGTCAGAACGGAAGTCGGTTGCAAATCGATGACCAAGTGTATAACATTCGGCCAACACGGGGTTCTACTTGCAAGTCGTACTATATGAGGAAGGTGAAGGTAACAAATTTGTATAGATCTGGTGGTACGTGGGTAAGACACTGGCGTAGTATTGGGAAGGTACGGGGTTCGAGACCGCGGTGTCTTTTGTCAATATAAATTGAATAGTGAATAAATAAATATGATTTTTCTGCAGCTATAAACCAAGTCGTAGAATATGAGGAGGATCGCAGAAAGTTGTAGCATAGATGTTTTGGTGGTCTAGAGGTAAGACACCAGCGTTGTAACGAAGAGGTCCTAGGTTCGAGATTCGGAACCAAAGAAATTTTTATAAAATACAAATCGAATTAATAAGATTTTTCTGTAATCATAACAACAGATGTAACATAAGAGGAAGATTAAAAGTTAAAATTTTCCGTGGCATTGGTGGCTTATTGGTAAAACACCGGCGTAGTGAGTAGAACTTCTGAGGTTCGAGACCGACGAAAATTTTGTAAAACAGAAATGGGTTAAAAAGATATTTTTTCAGGAATTACGGCACGAGGTGTAACATAAGAGGAATATTGAAGAAATCAACATTACGTGGTGTTGGTGGTCTATGGGTAAGACACTGGCCTAGTGTGGAAACGGTCCGAGGTTCTGAACCCACGAAAGTTTTATAAAATACAAATGGAGTTAATAAGATTTTTCTGGAATTATATAGCGAGATGTAACATAAGAGGAAGATTTAAGGTAAAAACTTCCGTGGCATCGGTGGCCTATGGGTAGGACACTGG